CATATACAGCAGGAGACAACTTTAAGTCCTTTCAGGACCTGTACAAAAGTGTGGATGATTCCCTGGATATTTCCTTAATGGAGGTACCTGAGGTACAATACAAGTTGATGGATAGACTGCAGGCATCAGCATAATCTAAAATAGCTCTGCCAGTCAATGAGGCCATTTTGGATCCAGCGGCAAACCCCAACCTCTATTTCCTGAACCTCAAAAAGGGCGGACAGGAAGTGTTATTTTCTGGCCAAAGAGGCTGAATTTTTTAGCTTTGTGCTAATTCACCTAATCAAAATTTATCCTTGTATGCATGTGAACTCTGTACCACAATGGGTACAAGCCCCAGCTTGTCCTTGTTTGCAGGTCAGCATCAGTGCAGTGGCAATTACTGGCCATTGATGACTCAATTGGGGCTATTCCAAGTGCAGACTACACCTGAACAAAAATTGTTTTCCTCTTACACTTGCTAAACTTTCACTGGTTGTTGTGATAACATTTTATTAGTTCTGACCTCAGCACTGAGTTCTCCAGAGAAGAGAAGACGTGCATTTCTATATTTAAAAAAAAAAAAAAAACTTTTAAAAAATGTAAAGGAGCAAAAAAGAAAAGGCACAAGCCAATTTTTATTTCCTGTTTTGTTTGTGAATCAGGTTGTATCCCTTCGAACTAATAGTTTTTGGTCCTTACAGGGCCCTTGCTGTCTTCTGTTGTTCAGAAGCCACGAGAATCCTGAATAGCGGCAGTGTGTATATTTAGCTAGGCCAAACATATATATCGTTAGTAAATGCAGTTACGAGCAGGGCTGACAGACTCTCCGGGCCCCTAGGCATGGTGTGGGGGGCAGCTCTGCATTCCCAGATGGGTTGGGGCCTCAGGCAAAAGGAGTGAGGTTGGGATAGCCAGCCCTCAATGCTGCCTGGAGTGTGCCATGCTGACCCCTGGCGCCCCTCCAACCAGCCCCAAGAGCGCCATGCGGTGCTCCGGGAGTGATTCATATGGCCTGGGGCTCCAGCTACTGCTGCTCCTACAAGTGCGACATCTGGGAGCCCTGGGCCCTTTTGAATCACTAGGCCCTGGGGCAGTTGCCCCTTCCCTCTCCCCTTCCCCCCCCCCTCAATTCATTTTTAGGGTTGGCTGATATTTGGAGCCTGCTGTGCCAATTGGTTACTCTGCATCATGTTTATTGTGTAAAAAGCAAGACTCATTTCCCTTGCAAGTCACCTTTACATTTTGTGCTGAAGGATACTAAAACCATACACTCTATGGTGTTCAGTGTTACTGAGGCAGAGAGAACTGCAAAGTCAAGGGCTATTAATAGACAAAGATTTGCTTCCATTCTCTTAAGACTGTACAGTGAGTCCTGTCCTATCAGTACTGGTTACCATTCATTGTTAGGGTTGGCTGATATTTGGAGCCTGCTGTGCCAATTGGTTACTCTGCATCATGTTTATTGTGTAAAAAGCAAGACTCATTTCCCTTGCAAGTCACCTTTACATTTTGTGCTGAAGGATACTAAAACCATACACTCTATGGTGTTCAGTGTTACTGAGGCAGAGAGAACTGCAAAGTCAAGGGCTATTAATAGACAAAGATTTGCTTCCATTCTCTTAAGACTGTACAGTGAGTCCTGTCCTATCAGTACTGGTTACCATCATGAAACACAGGCAGGCTCTGATTATTTAAGGTTTATAATTATAATAATAAAATGTTGAAGTGCAGCTCTGGTTCACAGAGCATGATCATCACCATCTCTCAAGGGTAAAGAGTCCAGAGAAAGCATGCTGCAATATCTGCAGCCTTCAGCCTCTTCTGCACCCATGTCACTGAGGATCTGCTGTTCGTGGCCAAATGTTAAAATACTCCACTATGCTGTACTGGCTTTTATATGCCATAAATAAGCTATGTGTAAAAGGAAATGCTTTCCATTAAAAGCATTTGCAGAAAATCATGCCAGTCTAGATGTAGCCAATGGGATTGCACAGGAACATCATTTTGGAGCTAACAGAATTAATGTGACAGGAACTTATCCTAATTATAGAATCTTTATAAGTAAATAACCTAGCTTTTTCAGCTCTCAGTTAGCATGGCTGGCAGATCAAAGAGATCAAAGCCTTATTTTTTAAAAATCTCTCCCCATTCCTTTTAAAGTTTATGGTAGGGTTTATATTACTAATAGTGAAGCCATAAATGCCATACTTGTTTTCACCAGTACTGATATTCAGTGCAACAAGGTTTAAGTACATAGTTGTCTAAATTTGATGAGTATTTCCTACCAAAATACATTTGTGTTTTAACAAAAATTTGTCAATTTGCTTTTTAAAAGCATAGCTTGAAATCTTGTTTGCGAATTTATCATTTGTGGGAGGTGTGGAATTGACAATCCTAGAAGCCAAAGCCCTTTTATTATACACAAAGCAAATCTAGAATTTATTATCACGTCTCGCAAGAACACTTTAAACTACAATATCCAAGCATTAACTGTGGCAGTACAAGCTCCTCCCTCTATTGTATGTATTTTACCAATTTCCTAACATAAAAAGTGAAAAAGGATACTTTGGTCTCCATGCACATTTGCTTTTCTGATGAGATTGCTTCATTATCGTAGCAAACACCACTAACTGTGATGCTGGAGGTTTTTTTCTGCTGATGCCATGAAAATGTTGTGAAAGGGGCTTCACCCATTTTCAATATAGGTTGGGCTTTTTACTGTGTCCAAGGGAGTTGTTTTCATCACACATCTTTCTATACATAATCTGGTTCTTCTGTGTGCTGTTAGATCCTGTAATACCATAAATGTCTGACAAGCAATAAAATAGTTATGAGTCTATTACAGGAGTGGGTGGGTGAGGTTCTGTGATCTGCAACATGCAGGAGGTCAAACTAGATAATAACAATGGTCCCTTCTGACCTGAAAGTCTATGACAGGAAAACAATATACTAAGAGAATCTCAGTATGTTTTTAAGTTGTTCGTGCATTGTGAAAAACTAATGAATAGTATTATCAGGGTATTATCTAAACACCTGATGCTCAAGCTATTGTTAGCATATACATAAAATACATTTGCCCAAACCTTGCTGTGATTAAGGGTCCATAGATGAGGTTTGGTTTTTTTTTTTGAAAGATTTTTGTCTTTAAACATCTTTGAACTTAGACTCACTTTTCTGAGGTTAAACATCTTGGCTGTGTCTAGACTGGCAAGTTTTTCCGCAAAAGCACTTGCTTTTGCGGAAAAACTTGCCAGCTGTCTACACTGGCTGCTTGAATTTCCTCAAGAACACTGATGATCTCATGTAAGAAATCAGTGCTTCTTGCGGAAATACTATGCTGCTCCCGTTCAGGCAAAAGTCCTTTTGCGCAAAGCTTTTGCGCAAAGGGGCCAGTCTAGACAGCTCAGATTTGTTTTGCCCAAAAAAGCCCCGATCGCGAAAATGGCAATCAGGGCTTTTTTGCAGAAAAGCACGTCTAGATTGGCACGGACGCTTTTCCGCAAAAAGTGCTTTTGCGGAAAAGCATCTGTGCCAATTTAGATGCTTTTTTCCGCAAATGCTTTTAACGGAAAACTTTTCCATTAAAAGCATTTATAGAAAATCATGCCAGTCTAGACGTAGCCCTTGAGTAACTCACTTCTAGTCTAAGGGAAACCAACTAACCTCTGAGAACATGACTGACTATACTGATCAATACAAACATAAGGGGAATCACAGAGCTTGAGAGTCATTAACTAGCTGTGGTATAGATTGAGTTTCACCAGTTGTGCTGCTGGGTTTCCTGCCCTGACCACCAGCTCCAGGCTCTGCCACCAGCCCTAGGCCACCAGGCTCCACTGTCCCAAAGCTTTGCCACTGCTAGGATCCACTGTCTGGGACTTCCAGGCTCTGCAGCCAACCCTAAGCCACCAGGTCTCTGGGCCACTACGCCCAGCCATTGGGCTCCTGGCTCTACTGCCTACCACCAGCCTACCAGGACACTCTGGTTCAATGGCTCTCTGGTCCAGCAATATCAGTGGTCCGTCAGACCAGAGATTCCCAGACTAGAGAGATTCAGCCTGTAATGCATTGTTTCTTGCAGGAGTATGAAACCAAGCAGACTGAAACAATAGATCTGAGTGTCATGAACTGCCCTCATGCTTTTCAGTGGTGCTATTTCTAAAGTTAAGTGATGAGAGCTCAGAAATCTAAGGTCTTTTTAAAGAGACTATTCAAATAACTTGGGAGGAAAAAAAACCTTCCATCTGTGACAAAGCTCCTCCTCAGTCTTGATGGGTCCCTCACTTTCAGTCAGATTACTTGCTGCAAAGGCTCACAGAAGCTCTCAAGTTAGACACCATCTTGCTATTTGTGGAGCTACTCTCATCATTGGCCAGGATGGGAAAAAACAGGGAAAACACACTTCATAGTTTCTGTGGCCCCACCAAGTGCTACAGGGTAGAATAAACACTTGTACTAAAGCCAATCTCTTTTCAGTACTGAAATGAGAAGTTGGGGGGGAGGGGGAACCTGGGCCCACCCTCTACTTGGGTTGTAGCTAACGCCCGCCCACCTCCTGGACACCAAGTAGTCGGAGAAACCTCATAATTGGCTCCAGATGTTTTAATTGGCCTGATTGCACTGATTGATTCTAGCAGGTTCCTGCTGGCTCTGGATTAGCCCTTGTTAGTCTACCCTGGGAATAGGGACCTATTTAATCCAGGGCTAATATATTTCCCCTTAACTACTCTCTGCTAGTTCTCTAACCTGACTCTGTCAGACATTATATCCAGGTAGGGTAATGAGTCTCCTCAATAAGTAAGCAAAACACTTAACCCTTTCCAACACATGCGCAAAGGGTATCTCAAGCAAACATTGTAAATCTGTTACAGAAAGTATTCCTAGATATTATTAGTATTGGGTGCTTGCTAGATGTTTAGGAAGATTTAGGATGATGAACTATCTCCTTCATAGAAATAAATCACTTTATACAATAGTATGTGTATTCTTTAAAATCTGTTCATTTTTTTTTTCCCCAGGTGTTGCTGTTTTGGACTCAAGTGTTTCTGGGAAGATTGGCTTGCGTGCAGTTATATATTATCTTGCCACTACCATCTTAGCTGTAATCCTTGGTAATAAGATCTATCTCAGGGGCCTGTAACAAATCTTTAATTGATGGGGAGTCCAAGAAAGAAACTAAGGGTCTGATCCTATACTTCTGAAATAAGTAGGAGTTTTGCTATGGATTTCAGTTGGAGCAAGATCAGCAACTCTCTGCCCGGATAAAATTTAATCATCAGTATGGCATAATTGACTAAATAGCATTTGGCCTTTTATCAGACCAAACATAAATGCAGATAGAATCTTCTTCAGCCAGTGCCCAAAAAGCAAAGTTATAAAGTGAGACTTGTTTCAGTTACAGTCCAAGAAGCACAATTACACAGTGGATGCGTCTAGACTGGCATGATTTTGCGCAAAATCTTGCCGCCTGTCTACACTGGCCACGAGTATTTGCGCAAGAACACTGACTTTGTAATGTACAAAATCGGTGGTTCTTGCACAAATATTCCAATGGTCCCGCTCAGGGATAAGCCGTCTTGCGCAAGTATTCTTGCGCAAGAGGGCGTCTACACTGGCATGCATGCTTTTGCGCAACAGCAAATCTTTTGCACAAAGGCACATGCCGGTATAGACGCTCTCTTGTGCAAATACTTTTAACAGAAAAACTTTTCCGTTAAAAGTATTTGCGCAAAATCATCCAGTCTAGACGCAGCCAGTGGCACTCACCTCCCCAGGGAGGGAGATAACATGCTGCTTTCTTTTTAAGCTCCTTCGCTCTTCCCAGAGGTTTCCCACACTCATTTTCACTCTTGCCTTCCTGTACCACAATCCCCTCTTGTAGTCTACTAATTTTACACAGCAGCCCAGCCTTGCCACCTTGCAATTCTCTGCCCTCAAAGTGGACATCTGTGACCCTTTTTTGACCCAATGAAGAGGATTAACCCCCATCTGCCAACTTCTCTGTGGAGTTAACAAACATGAATCAAATTATGGGCACAGGTAGCTCCCATTCATGGAAATAGTTCAAACTCCTCTAAAGGCAGAATTTTGCTCCAAGAATGACCTCTCTGTACATGAAAAAGCTACTTAAATGGGAGTGTAAAGGCATGAGCCTAACAAAACTTCACTGATGTCAAACACTACGATAATTTTGGCCTGTGATGTTCACTACTCAGGATAATATCTTATTTAGTTTACATTTGTGTGTGAGGAACTTTCAGTGAATAAATGCCCATGGAGATTAAATACGGAATAATTTGGGAATTGCCAACTCTTGCTCTAAAGCTTATATTTCAAAGTTAGTTCTGCCTACACCAATAAAAGTCATTCATTGACAGAGGTGTTGAAGGATCTTGGAGCTGCAATTTTATTTATTTTTGTTAATTTCTTTGGGACAAAAATGAATACCAGTACAAGGGCTTAGCTTTTATTACAGAATAGTATGAATTCCTGACCCCATTGAAGTCAATGGAAACTTGTCATTCACTTAATTATGAGCAGGATCAGGCCTTATGTTTACAGATATTTTCAGTTCTGTCTGTTTCTGAAACCTAGGCTTGTGTGAACCTAATACTCAAGATTATCTTTACAAAAGTAAATTCAGTTATGTGGATTAATGGAACAAGGCAACCATATTATCATCTGAAAGCTTATAATGAAAAGTACTGGTAGAGTGAGGAGGAAAAATTAGATCAGCTCTTGAAAACATCAAGAAAAGGAACCATTTGCTCTTACAATAATTGCTGTTAATTATATATATAGTTTTGACTAGATAATATACACATGAAGAGTAATGTCAGAAGGGTCTGACACTCTCAGTAGCATCATAGAGTCACCACTGAAAACACCACTCTATTCTATTGGTGAAACCTCCTCTTAGGATTACAATTATATGGTTTTCTCTTGATTACAGGGATTGTGCTAGTTGTGTCCATGAAACCTGGGGTATCTCAGAGAGCTGAGGAAATTGACAGAACAGGCAGTACCCCTGATATCACAACAGTGGATGCTATGCTAGATCTGATTAGGTGAGTTTTTCAGTTTCCATACTGTTGCTTCAAATACCTAAATGATATAATGCAGTGATTAAAGTGCTTAACATACAAATGCTTCACAATATCTTTTTGAAGTGTAATAATACAAAAAAAAAAAAACCCAAAAGCTACGTTCCCAAAAGTTAGATAAAAGATCACATAGCTCTAAATGGCATTCATACAAAAAAGTTTTATAAAATACCCTTTGCCTACACAAGCAACCTGCGTGTGTTGCTTTTGCAAATAAAGCAGTATACATGAGAAACTTGAGATGCATCTGACAAAGAGGGGTCCAACCCACGAAAGCTTATGCCAAATAAATTTGCTAGTCTTTAAGGTGCCACAGGGCTCCTTGTTGTTTTTGCTGAAACGAACTAACACGACTACCTACCCTTCTGAAATACTTCAGATAGTAACTTGCCCAAGAATCCAGGGTCAACATTGTCCATGCCATTTATTTCTTCTGCCTCAATTGGAAATAAAATGTGATACTTACTGTCTTAATATGAGAAGAGAAACCAAAAAAGATCAATAGGTGACTTGCTTGATGGTAACTCTCATTCTGTTTGGTAGAGCACTGGGGACTTCATAGTGTAGCTCTGCAGTGCTTTCTCTTCTCAGTAAAGGTGGTTAGAGAAAACAATCTGTCTCCAGTATAGCAGAAGCAGTCAGCTGGGCTCCACATATTCAGCCATGCTGGAAAACTTAAGTTGGCCTGTTGCTTGCCACTTCTGCAACACTTATGCTCTTGGCTACCCTTTTCTTAGAATCACTAGCCAATTAGCCCGTCATAAGACGGAATTTTCAGGTCTTCTCTCCTGAGCGCTCTCGCTCCGTCTTCTCTCTTTCTCCTCCTACTGCCTCCCCGCTCTCTCTCAGCTCTCCTCCGCCTCCTGCTGGAAAACTTAAGTTGGCCTGTTGCTTGCCACTTCTGCAACACTTATGCTCTTGGCTACCCTTTTCTTAGAATCACTAGCCAATTAGCCCGTCATAAGACGGAATTTTCAGGTCTTCTCTCCTGAGCGCTCTCGCTCCGTCTTCTCTCTTTCTCCTCCTACTGCCTCCCCGCTCTCTCTCAGCTCTCCTCCGCCTCCTGCCGCTCTCTAGTGACATACACGGCCGGGGGCGGAGCCGTGTATGTCACCGCCCTCCCTTCCCCTCCCACCGGGGGGGGGGAGCCCAAATAGCCCCTTGCACTGCTGGATCCCCCGGCGGCCCGGCTGAGGGGCACAGCACTCAGCTGAGTGCCAAAGCAGGAGGGGAAGGGAGGCAATGACGTACGCAGCCCAGCCCCCTGGACGTGTACGTCACCGCCCTGCCCCCTTCCCCTCCTTCCGTGGCGGCTCGGCTGAGTGTTGTGCGCTCAGCCAGGCCACCACAGGAGAGGAGGGGTGGGGTGGTGATGTACACAGTCAGGGGGCAGGGCTGTCTATGTCACCGCCCCCCCGCCCTCTCCCGTGGTGGCCCGGCTGAGGAGCGCACCACTCAGTGCCACGGCAGGAGGAGGGAGGGGGGCGGTG